AAGGGGGAGAAAAAGCTAGTCATGAAGATTGAAGCAGGGACTTCTCATCCTTTGGATGTCAGAGGCAGAGAATAAGCTGATCATGAAGTTGAAGCAGGGTGAAGCTGAAGGAGCAGAGGAAAGTAGTGGATCCAGTACTAGTGATGGAGGAACAGCAGCTGATACTGAGGAGACTTTGGATTGCGCTATTTTTGTTATTTGCTATATTGGTTGTCATATTCAGGGGGAGTTCAAGCAATGACTCAGGGGGAGTTAAGCTAAAATTTAGTTTTGATCAGAAAGTTAAAAAGGGGGAGTTTGAAACACGTGGATTTGTTTTTAACTTTCCTATTTTTCTAACTAAATTTTAATTATTAAATAAGTAGTGCTTAGTGGGTTAAGTATAGTAGTTAGTGGGTTAAGTAGTGCTTAAGTGGGTTTAATTGTGAATATTATTCTAACTCCTTAAACTAACCCACTAACCCATTTTCTTGAGTGCTCTTGTGGTTGGTTTTCTTGCAGATCATGGGCTGAGTAGTGGAAGCTTGGAATGTCTATAAATACCGACTTCAAGACTCAAGGAAATTAATCGATTCTACGAAATAAAAACCGAGGGCTGAAGAATATTCACGAGAGTTTTAGAGTGGTTTTAGAATCGGTCGTTTGTACTCCTCATGAGTACAATCTTTACGTACTCCTTATGAGTACATTCTTTACGTACTTCTCACAAGTACATTCTTTGTAGTCTAGATTGTATAGTATATATGTTTCTAGACTTGGTTGTAAGAATGATCAAGATAGTGATTCATTCATAAGTTCTTTACGTACTCCTCACGAGTACATTCTTTGAAATCTAGAATTTTTAATATTTTTCTTTTAGTATCTAGATTTGATTGTAAGAATGATCTTGAAAAAGATTCATTCATAAGGAAGAAGTTTTCGCACCTCTTCTGTTTGTATTCTTGGAATACTGATTTTAATATATTTTTCCGTCCTGTAAAGGGCAAGTTCACAAGTCTTTACTTGTGAACATTTTTAATTCTGAGTACTGTCTTTTAATCTTTATATTTCCGCTGCATGTTGTCTCAAGTGTCATAACATTTTAGATAACATCTCTGTATAATACGAATTCGGGACCATAAATTCTTTCAAAGTTAAATAAGTATTAATCATAAAATAATTATTTTTAAAAAATACGCTCAGGGCCCCGAAAATGTCAGGACCGGCCCTGTCCATCAACATCGATTCCAATGGACAATTTGAGAATGCGCACTTGTAATGTATTGCACTTCTTAACAATGTATATATTTCAATTATCTTCCGCAATATCGTTTATGTACTTCACATATAGACTCCATCTTTGAAGCAATTCTCAATACATCCAAGATGTTTTGCCGAAGTGATATTCTATATATATATATATAAGCTTCTGATTTTTAAAAGGATAAATTATAATTTCAATTTTCTTATAACGTAGATGAATTTTATGAAATATTTATTTGCTAAGGGAAGAATATAGTCTTGAATGCTTTATTGCATGTTAAGCTCATTCTAGGTTATTATAGTTAAATATCCTGAGGGTATTCTTCTCTTTTCTTAAATCAAATAAAAAATGTAGAATAAGATGTAAAATGGGGCTAACATAACCACGTGAATGTTCCTTCTTCTTAGTCTAGATGTAATGGGGCTAATAAGAGCTCCCACGGCGATCTTTGTATATGAGAAAATCTAATAACAACCATAGTTCGTTCCTTAATTTTGGCAAAACCTATTATCACATACTCATCATCCAGTGTCACTGTCTTGGAATGTACATATATCATAAATCGTTTACGTTCTTTTAAAGATGAATACTATAATTTAGTTGTGTTTAAAATATATATTGTTGAATATAATAAATTGAAACTCTAAATTCCCAAACTTGTAAATAAATTAAAAAAAAAAAACAAAAAGTGACGAGGACATTAGTTTCATGGCATATAGATGTCTGATGACTTCTCGTCGAATCAATGGTAGCACCTCATTTTTTTGTGAGAAGAACAAATTTTAATCGATACATATGACTAAAGTAACACAAGGGTTCGATGAAAAGCAATGTCATGATGTGAAGAATAATTAGTAGATATTTAATATAGAATTGTTTCATTGCATGATCACTTTGTATGTGTGTTTGTGTGCATGTAAGTGTTAATTGACACTTCAATTGAGGCAAAAGCATGACATCTACAAAGGCAAACAAAATACATCACATTGAAGGACACTCACATTATATTTTATAGTCGACGGTTCTTCTCGACGATGTTCCTAGCTCGATTACCAATGTAGTAGAAATTTAGACAGTCCGTTGGTTGTACATTTTCAAGATTAGCAGACTTTTAGCTCTTGGGTGATTATTTCAGACATCTTTTGCATTATTTGCCTCTAAATTAATGAACAATTAGCGAAAATAATAATGTAGATGTACCAAATATGGTACACCAAAATGCTAAATCTCTTAATTGATTTCCAATTAGTTGACTTCTGACTATAGTTGACATAGGTATATATGAAGTCAATGATCTTATGCTACCAGTTGTCAGCGGTAAGTTGTCGGAGCTCCGATTAATTGACTTTATTTAGTTGATTAGTGGTTAGAGCTTAGGTTTCATATAATAGAACCAACACAAGATTCATGGGTTAAAAGTCCACTATAAATTATTGGCACGGTTCAAGAATTAAAACTTATAAAAATAGTTAAATAATTGTTTATTACATTTTAAAATGATTATTTTGTTGAATAAATATGATAAAGTATATATGAATTCGTTCCATTTAAGTAAAAAAAATAAATGCACAGTTAATATATTTGAATTGATCATATTATCTAAAATTCAAACTCAGTTATCAAGCAAATTAAACTAATGAAGATTTGCCATTTAAAAAACAAAATACTAGTGTCGATCGATTCTTGTATACACTTGGTCGCCGCTATCAATTAGTAATCTTGGTTATGAATGGCTTAATTCTAGACTAATTAACCATATCATTTAATTAAGTATTAAAATTTTGTAGCTTGTATTACAATTTACACCAAGTACTGAATAATGTTACAAGTTTATTATTAAATATTATATGAATATCTTATTAATATCCATTGTCAATGATAAACATATCTAATTTGCCAAATTTTATAGATTAAATCGTTCTTTTTTTTCCTCTTTTAGCAACTTATTACAAACTTAACCATCTGAGTGTGGCCAAGTTTTATTAGTTAGCAGCATTTATTTGTAGTAGACTTCAGTTTTTGTAGCAGGTTTTAATTAATTTAAATCCTGCCAATGAAATAAATTAGTAATTTATATCGCTTAGTTTAATAGATTTGATGGCAATAATGAAAGGCGAAACCAGAATCAAAATGTAGGGGAGCTAACTAAAACATTGCAAAATATAAGTTTATATAACTAATTAAAATATCATATATATATATATATATATATATATATATATATATATATATATATATATATATATATATATATATATATATATATATATATATTCTAAATTAATTCAAATTATTCTAATAATATACTGCACTTAATATTTCGGAGATTCATGGCACGATCTCATCTTTTTTTTTGAAGGCGTTAGATAAAAAAATTAAAAAATATGTAATATTCATAAATTTTATTTAAAATAATACAAGTTTTAACCATCTTATTTTATATTTTATATTAAATATGATATATTTATCTATAATTTATACAAGATTTTGGAGAAAAAACAAAAAATTAATGGATCAAGATAAATATTTACAAAAACTTTGGGAGGCCAAAAGTAATATTTAAAAAATTTAGTACCAAATATCTAAAAAAAATTCTTTTCTTGGGGGGTCAACGGCCCCATGCCCCATCAAAGTTCCGCCAATGTGTAAATTCAAGTTGGCGGAAACCAACAAAAGGTTACACGTGAAGTCGCATGGGCCGAAAGTATTAACGTTGACTCAGGAATACACGAGTTTGGGTCGGAATGTGCACAAAACTTGTAAAGGGGGATGAATTCTCTTCACCAATCAAATGTGAATTTTTCAATAGCGTTTACATTTTTTCCTTTTTTTAAGCTTATTAATTTAATTTTAACTATTAATTCTCTTTTACTACTAATGATTAAGGTTCTTTTAGTTTTTTGGATGTATTTTTTTTCTAAAATCAAGAAACATTTATTAAAATTCTTAATATATGTACAAAGCTAAAACAACGGTTAATAAGGAACAAACGGGGTAATAATTAATATTTTTGTATATGTCCCTCCGATTTGGCAAGGCCAGATAGCCCTTAAGAAAAGTAAGGAAATTGCTATTCCAATTCAAATTTACCCAAAAATCTCTCTACCGAATCAAATTAAGCCAACTAATTTAGGTGGTGTTTGCAAATGTTTTTTGAAAGTGATTATGCGATGTTTTTGCTCATAATCTGTTTTTAGGTGTTTGCAAAATCAACTTTTGCTTTTGCTTCTCTTAAAATAATCTGTTTTAAGCTATTTTTTTAAAAGCACCCCTAACCCTGCTTTTTCAATTTTAGTTCATTTTCCGAAATATTTGCAAACACCCCCAACTTTTAGAAATAAACACTTAAAAACTAACTTAAATCACAATCACTAACTTGTGCTTTTAAATAATCATTTGCGTACACCACCTCATATCCATACATTAATCATATTATCAAGTGGGGGGTGTTGATTTTGATTTTCGATACATTGCACTATTTTCTATATTGGATTCAAATACAAAGCATATAGTAATTGAGTACAGTACAGTAAAAGTGGTACCCCCTCTTTTGTCGTTATTTTCTCCACGTGGCATTGCCGCTCCATCACCACTTCACGTTTTCTCCGTGGCACAGTCGGCCCACCACCTCACACGTCACCTTTATTCACGCCGTTAACCCCGCCGTTGCCGCCATCTCCTCATCACGTGCACGTATCCACGTGGCGGTCAATCACCGGCCCATACGGTCAACGCACCCATATATATATACGACCCCTTTCTCTTCTGAAATTGCAACAGTTAAAAAAGAGAGAAAAAAAAGGATCTAGTAAATTAAGAAGCATTAGAATTAATTAATGGAGTCTCTGATTTTTCGAACCGGATCCGGTTCAATTCCTCTCCAATCTCCACTACCGCCGGCTTCACCTCGACACTCCGTCTCCTTATCCGCCGCCGCCGCCGGTGGTGGTGTATTTTCCGGCGATAAGAACGGTTCGCCACCACAGAGGATCTCCCTGAATATGGAGGTATCTCGCCGGAGCATTCGCCGTTCGTATTCCGAACCCGACGTCGCTCGGTCGGAGTTCAGGGCTCTGAGTAAGCTGGGCTCGCGATCTTTCACGGCTCTACCGGAGGTGGATCAGCACGGCGGAAGTACTGAATTGGGTTTCCCAGGCGGCGGAATGAAGAAGAACAGGAATTCCGGCGGCGGAGGCGGAGGAGGAGGTGGAATTGGAAGCGGCGGCGGCGACGACGATCGGCACAAAATGGGGGAATATTACGAAGAAATGCTGAAGTCAGATCCGAGAAACTCGCTGCTGTTGGGAAACTACGCCAAATACTTGTGCGAGGTATAACATATTTTGTTAAATTACGAAAAACCCCTAAACTTAGATTAAATGACAAAATCCACCTTCACCTATTCGTAATTACTAAAACACCCTGAAATTTGTTTCCGTCTTACACCAGTCCCTTACAATCTGACTTTTCACTGACCTTTTTTTTTTTTTTTTTTTTTTTTAGGAAATAGAATTTACACAATTTCAGATATTTTCTTTTATTTCTCAACTATTTAACATAAGGTATAATAGTCTGTACATATTTTTTGTTAAAAATATTTTTTGTTAAAAATACATATTTTTTTGTTAAAAATACTCGATCAACAGTTAATCAGACGTGAATTTTTGGTTATTACAAATATGTGAGGGTTGTTTTGTTACTTAGCCTAGTTTAGGATGGTTTCCGTAATTTACACTATATATTACATAAATACTCCATTAATTATTTACCGAAAATAAATTAAAAAAGAAAAACTGAAAATTGATTATGAATGAATTGGAAAAAAAAACAGGTGGAGAAAGATGTGGTGAAAGCAGAAGAGTATTATGGGAGGGCAATATTGGCAAACCCAGGTGAATGTGATGGAGAAGTACTTTCACTGTATGGAAAATTGATATGGGATATACATAGAGATGAAAACAGAGCTAATTTTTACTTCAACCAAGCTCTTCTAGCTTCCCCTCACAATTGGTACATTAATACTAACTCCCTCTCTCTCTCTCTCTAGATTTCTCTCTCTCTAGATCACATGTTTGATTATGATCTAATAATATGTTTAATTGTGGCAGTATGATAATGGGTTCGTATGCGAATTTCATGTGGGAAGTTGAGGAGGAGGAAGAAAAAGAAATTGGGAGATCAGTTAATAATAATAGTATAGCATCATCAATTATGGTGGAAGCTTTCTAATTTAATATTGTAATCTTAAATATATATTATATAAATTACAGCTATCAGTCAGTCAGTCGTAGGTTTTTCTAACAATGTTACAGATACAATCATACAACAACAATGTAAGAGGAAAACAGTTCTGAATTCTAGTCGGCGAGGATGTATATATAAAGTGTATATTTCTTTTTCTTTTTTATTTAGTAAATCATATTGTTAGAGGTTAATTTAACCACCACCAACATTCGCTCTTCTTGAACACTTTCCACGATTTCGATTGTTGGAAATTTACTCTTTTCACTTGAAATCCTGGAACTCGAGCCCAATAGAGTTTCCAATACCTATATATTATAAATTTAATTAAATAAATTGGAAGCCGCCTATCCTCAGAAGTCAGAACCAGAGCCCAACAGCCATTTTTACTGTCCATGCAGTGTAATAAACTTCACCAGAAGCATCAATTAAAAAAAAAAAATAGATAAAAGTTGAACTCAGTGTAATAAACTTCACCAGAAGCATCAATTAAAAAAAAAAATAGATAAAAGTTGAACTCTATTATAACATATAATTACTTTATGGACTAAGGAATGACAAAGCAAGATATATATCAAAGCCCTATATTATCCCCTTTATGAAATACGTGTCATGCTCTTAGCAATTGCTTAGTTAAATAAAGCATGACAATGCTTGTAATAAATTTGTGTATAAATACCCATCTTTAGCAATGAAAACATACAGCTTTAACTAGCAATTCCACATTTTCTCTCACTCAAATGCATCTTCTATTATTTTGTATTTTAAACACTTACAGTGTAAATAAGTATATCTCGTATATATACATAAATATGTGCTGCTAATGACTTTATTCTATAACACGTTATAAGCACGAGATTTTGCTCGATAGGTATTTGCTATTTTCGTATTCTTCTTTTTATTTTATTTTACGAAAATCCAGATCCTCGATCTATTGTCGAAAAGACAAACAAGAATGATTAGCGAATACTTCCGTATTTTATACGCTATCATTTCTCAAAGGATATGATGGATTCGTGTATATAGATCTATTGCTTATTTATTTGTTGAATTGCTGAAATTTGTATTTATAAGCTTGTGGATCCCAAGCAGTGTTATAAGCACGAAGTTTAACAGATATGTGGGCCGACTTAGAGGCCAAGATATTCACTCTGAGCATGATGCTCGTCGAGTAAAAGATATAACAATCTCAGTTGAAAGTCGATTTAGAGACTATGAGATTAACTCCGAGCCTGATGCTCGTGGAGTTGGAGAAATAATAATCTCCGTTTAAAGTCGATTTAGAGGCTATCATTTTAATTCCGGGCATAGTACCCGTAGAGCATAACATAGACCCTATAGAGGTCATACTATATAACTCCGAGTCGAAAAACTCGTTGAGTCGAGACGCTGGAATTCCCGTCAAATAAATGAAATATAGCTCCGAGTTTAAACTCGTTGAGACAAGATCAAAGCCGATTTAGAGGCTAAATCGTTAATATAACTCCGAGTCTAAACTCGTTGAGACTAGAAAGCCGATTTAGAGGCTACATCATAAATATATCTCCGAGCGTGAAGCTCGTTGAGTTAAGACGTGATAATATCCGTCAAAAGTCGATTTAAACGCCAAATATCTGAATATATCTCCGAGCCTGAAGCTCGTTGGGTTAAGACGTGATAATATCCGTCAAAAGCCGATTTACAGACCAAATATCTAAATATATCTCCGAGCCTGAAGCTCGTTGAGTCAAGACGTGATAATATCCATCAAAAGTCGATTTAAACGCCAAATATCTGAATATATCTCTGAGCCTGAAGCTCGTTGAGTTAAGACGTGAAAATATCCGTTAAAAGCCGATTTAAAGGCCAAATATCTGAAAATAACTCCGAGCCTGAAGCTTGTAGAGTCACAAGACGCGGTAAAATCCGTCAAGAGCCAACTTAGCGGCTATTAATCACAAGTCAAAATTGAAGGGTTTTGGGTTATCTTGTACCCAGTGTATATATAATATCTCTTGAAATGTGTGATTCCCGAGATTGAGTTATCTTGAGTGTATCCATGTACAATCTCTCTTGGATGATGTAATTCCCAAGATCGAGTTGTTTTAAGTATACAAACATGTATATATCTCCATTGGATGAAAATTTCATGAGGTCGAGCTGATTTTGATACACGTACATGAAAAATATGGACAAATATGACTATTGCCTACTCGATAGTGAAACTACACACTCAATATTCAATAATAAAATATATTTCTCGAGTGTGACTTTGTGCAAGGCACAAGTTAAAACCATTGCAGGTTCCGCGGAAATAATAGATGGCTCCGTAAACGCAACAATTGTGTTGCCTAATGGTACCACTTTGCATATTCCTAATGGTACCACTTTGCATATTGAGAATGCATTGATATCCGGTCGATCAAACAAGAATCTACTGAGTTTTAAAGATGTGAGACGCAATGGGTATCATTTAGAGACATTGGTTGAAAATACCGTGGAGTGTGTAGCAGCTAATGTAGCGGCCTGTTGAGCATTTGACGCGTCACATCATATGTCATGGACAAAAGAATTGTTCATGAGAAGTTCGAAGCGACAGCTTCTAGACTGTATTGTGTCCAAATTCGAGCTTTCGAATCCTACGCCACTATGCCATGAAAACTTGTTAATCCCGATGTACGTGGGTTATGGCATGATCGACTGGGTCACCCAGGAACGACTATGATGCGTAGGATTGTACAATATACTAAGGGACATCCATTAAAAGATACAAAAATCTTGATGTCCAATGAATATTTCTGTACTTATCAAAAAAAAAACAATGAATATTTCTGTGAATCATGTTCACAAAAAAAGCTCATTATAAAACCTTCAATTGAAAAGGTCGGTTATGAATTACCATCGTTTTTACAACGTATTAATGGTGATATTTGTGGACCAATACACCCTGCAAGTGGGCCATTTAGATATTTTATGGTTTTAGTGGACGCATCCTGTAGATGGTCCCACGTATGCGTATTATCTACGCGAAGTGTTGCATTTGCGCGTTTGCTTGCACAAATTATTAAACTCCGAGCACATTTCCCCGATTATCTTATCAAAAATATAAGGATGGATAATGCCGGAGAATTTACATCAAAAAGTTTTGATGAGTATTGTGCAACACTAGGAATAAATGTTGAGCACCGAGTAGCATACGTTCACACTCAAAATGGATTGGCGGAATCTCTGATTAAACGCGTCCAAATAATTGCTCGTACACTGCTGATGAGATCTAAACTCACTAGTGTAGCATGGGGTCATGTCAGCACTTATTAAATTACGCCCCACTGCTTATCATATGCATTCCCCAATGCAATTGGCATTAGGTTGAGCCCGATATTTTGCAACTACGCCCATTTGGTTGCGCTGTGCAAGTGCCATTTCCTCCTCTTCAGAGGACTAAAATGGGTCCCCAACGCCGACTTGGCATATACCTTGGGTTTGATTCACCGTCAATTATTAGGTTCTTGGAACCAATGACGGGTGATTTATTTACCACTAGATTTGCGGATTGTCATTTTGATGAGACATTATTTATACCGATTGGTAGAGATATTCAGAATATCCGTGATAATGATAAACAAAACCAATCGAGAATCTCACATGGTGTGATCAACATTTATCTCATCTAGACCCACGTACCTCTGAATGTAAAAATGAGATCCGTAGAATCATTCATTTACAAAATATTGCTAATAGACTTCCTGATGCATTTAATGATGCCAGTAAAGTCACGAAGTCTTATATTCCAGCTGTGAATGTGCCAGCTAGGATCGTTGTTCCTGAAGAACATGCGAAAATGAATGATTATCCCCCACGACAAAAACGGGGTAGACCTCTTAGATCAAATGACGTTGTTCATAGAAAAAGAAAGGGGAAAATCGATGAACACTCGAACCAAGTGGTTCCTAGTGAGAATTCTCTAGATGAATCACTTGAGCCTAATATCGAAAAAACGATATCAAATCCCGGGAATACCGAGAGTCGCATAAGTTATTGCAATGAAATGTTGAATAGAAATGAGATAATCATCGATAATATTTTTGCATTCTCGGTTGCACAAGAAATTATGTACGATGATTATGATAGTGAACCGCGTTCCATTATGGAATGCCGCCAAAGAAATGATTGGCCTAAATGGGAGGAAGCAATAAAATCTGAATTGGCTTCCCTAGAAAAACGAAAAGTATTCGGGCAAATCGTTCAAACTCTGGATGATGTAAAACCCGTTGGGTATAAATGGGTATTTATCCGAGAACAATGAAATTGTACGATATAAAGTCCGCCTTGTAGCTCAAGGTTTCTCCCAGCGGCCTGGGATTGATTATGATGAGACGTATTCACCAGTGATGGATACGATCACTTTCCGTTTTCTTATCAATATGGTCGTCCAAGAAGGACTGGACCTGCGTCTAATGGACGTTGTAACGTCCTATCTATATGGTTCATTAGATTCTGATATTTATATGAAAATTCCCGATGGATTTAAAATGCCAAACTCTGGCGCTCCTCGTGAGCTGCACTCAATCAAATTACAGAGATCATTGTATGGTCCAAACCAATCCGGTCACACGTGATACCATAAATTGAGTGAATACCTTATCAGGGAGGGTTATAAAAATAATCCTATTTGCCCATACGGTGTTATTAAACGATCAGAAACCGGATTTGCTATTATTGCGGTTTATGTACATGACATGAACCTGATTGGCACTCATGAAGAGTTGGCCAATGCTGCTGAATAAAGATAGAGTTTGAGGTCAAGGACCTTGGAAAAACCAAACTCTGTCTTGGTATTGAGCTTGAGCATAAAAATAACGGCATACTTATACACCAATCTGCATATACTAAACGAGTGCTCAGAAAGTTTAATATATAAAATTCTAATACATTGAGCACCCCTAAGGTTGTGCGCAATTTCGATCCTGAAAATGATCCGTTCCAACCTAAAGAATTTAATGAAGAGATATTTGGTCCTGAAGTGCCGTATCTCAATGCTATTGGAGCGTTAATGTATCTAGCACAATGCACTCGACCTGATATCGTTTTTGCGGTAAATGTGTTTGCGCGATACTGTTCTGAGCATACACGGTGACACTGGAATGGTGTTAAACATATTTTTCAATATCTCCGTGGTACT